AATATCGATATTTAATTAAATTTCTCAATTAATTAAACACATTTTTTTTTTGGTGAACATTTGGTTCACTGGTTTGCTAGTTTAGTTTTAAGTTTAGATAATCACGCCAGAATCGACACCAACGTATATAGGTATATCAATCGTATACCTAATGGTAACTCATGCACTTAAATAAAATCCTTGCCTCTCTTTCTAGATAATTGTCAATTACTGATTAATTGAAATTTAATATCATTGTAATATAACACAAAATAAAATTAAGAATCTTATACAAACCGTAAATTTTTTAAGCTCGCCAAGTCAAGAAAGTAAGATAGGTATAGTAATTTTGGAAGCTTTGGGCTGACCCTATTCTGAAGCCATGGGCACGCCCCTGATGTGTGGGAGACTAAGTAATTTGCGTATGTGATGTGCGCTAAAAACCGACATAGCTTGGAAAAGCACGAATGTAGTGAAAACTTAACGAAGGCATTCGCAAATGTCGTCCCACATATGCAGGTTGGCGCATTCGTGCTAACGAATGTGAGTGATCAGATCAGGATAATAATTTTATTTTTTTGGTTTCCTGTCCTGGCTGAAACACAAACCGTGCGAGCCAATAAAAAAAACCCTGTTTGGCGCGATTTCATCAAGCGTGTTTAACGAAAAAGCTGGCTCAATGCATTTTGAAACAAACATATGAATGTGTCACACTCACCCCGTATTCTAATGTCAAAAAAAATAAAAAAGAAAAAATATCGATATATCGATAATATCGAGTTAAAATGGTCGATATATCGGATATCGATATTTTCCTGACTTCGATATAAATATCGATATAAATATCATATAAATATCGATATAAATATCGATATTACAAAAGACTTTGCATCCCTAGCCACAACCTCCTGAGAGAATCATATTGCCAAATTATTCAAGAGCAGCTGATACACATTCACGCTGCATATTTAAACAATATACATGTGATATACAAATAAAATACAATATGATACAATTATGTGAAAAATAGTCAAAAAATAAAAGCAAAACTACAGTTTTTATTTTATTCATGATTCCTACCTTACCAAGTTTCCTAATAGGTATTCTTTAAAATCGCATCGAATAAAAATGAATTACTTGTCATGTTAATTCAATTCATACTAAATTCATATAATGCGATTCAACTAAGAATAGGACCGACTGGGCGCCATATTTTGACATCACAGCTGTCAATTCAAACCAAACAGGTAGAGTGAGCAAAAAAAAAAAGTTTCTATTTACATAAAACTTATTAACTAAGATTAAGTGAGAAAAAACAATAGCTTTCTTTTTTAATAAAATTAATTTACTGAGATTGAGAGAAAAAACAAACTATTTTTAATAATATTTCTTTATTAAGACTGTGAGAAAAAACATTAATCAGAATCTAGCTCTTCAATTCCGCTCATCTCTGCATTACCGCCGTAGTAGTTATGAATAATCATCGCGCGCATCACTGTAACCCAAAAGTAACAGCATGAAGTAGGCCGCGGGCGCGTTATGAAAAAATCATGTGAGTGAAATTTCGAGATGCGCGCGCATCACTGTAACACAATAGTAACACCATGAAGTTGGCCGCGGGCGCGTTATGAATGTTAGTGTCTAATAATGGTGGATTGTTAACCACTTAGTGGTTAATAATCCACCATTATTAGACATCTGTTCGAAAGGTACTTTGAACGATCCACGGAGCTCCATAAGATGATCGCGTTGTCAAAAACAATGTTGGCACGCTCGTCGCCTCTGATCATCATAGTTATAATATTTATCCACATGTTTCTAGTTTCTTTATAGACACAACGTGTTTTAGTTACTTACAAGTGCTAATTACATATGGACTAATAACTTAAATTCAGTAGTGATTTTAATTGAATATTTTGAATATTTATTTAATTTTTCAAATTAAAACTGAACTTAATTGACTGTGTTAACTATCCTTTTCCAGTTCTTTTATTATTTTATTGTAATTATTAATTATTTGCATGCAATTAAAAAATATTTTTAATGATGCTAAAGAAGTATAACTTCTCACGCGCGTACATAAGTTACACGCATCCATTTTTTGTTTTAGTGGGTAAGTACTTACTGCTATTCACCTTTCTAAAACAGTCTAAATTAAAAAAAAATCTTAAGTATATAAGATAGCAAATTCTAGTTTTTGAAGTGACATTGTTCTGCGTCCATACAATGTTAGCCTAAGAACCAACAATCATGAAATATTATTTTCTAGGTTCGAAATTGCAAGTAAAGAAAAAAACAAAGATTATTGACGGGCACTTCTGAGAACTTAAATTATCAGGAAAATTTAATATTTTTTGAGGTTATGTTTAATATTAAATGAAACATAGGTCAACCTATAATGCAATTCAAATAAGAATAGGAAAGCCAATGACCTTCATCTGTCAAATGTCGCTTGAAAAGTACAGTTTGCAAAAAATCTCGGAACACTTTTTTAGCACTCAGCTAATTCTAGAATAGAAATCGATCATTTTTAAACAAACAATAACAAATATTGATAATTAATATTGGTTGATATTATTTTTCCTTTATTGAGCTTTGGATATGAATGGTTGATGTCCTAAATCGTCAACCAAATGTCACTTTATGTTGCGTTCAGGAACTCGATTTAATACTTTCTTTTACATATAGGATGCGTGTTCGTATGTGACCTGCATGATTATTCATAACTACTACGGCGGTAATGCAGAGATGAGCGGAATTGAAGAGCTAGATTCTGATTAATGTTTTTTCTCACAGTCTTAATAAAGAAATATTATTAAAAATAGTTTGTTTTTTCTCTCAATCTCAGTAAATTAATTTTATTAAAAAAGAAAGCTATTGTTTTTTCTCGTCGCTTGAAAAGTACAGTATCGATCGATATATCGATAATATCGAGTTAAAATGGTCGATATATCGGATATCGATATTTTCCTGACTTCGATATAAATATCATATAAATATCGATATAAATATCGATATTACAAAAGACTTTGCATCCCTAGCCACAACCTCCTGAGGGGATCATATTGCCAAATTATTCAAGAGCAGCTGATACACATTCACGCTGCATATTTAAACAATATACATGTGATATACAAATAAAATACAATATGATACAATTATGTGAAAAATAGTCAAAAAATAAAAAGCAAAACTACAGTTTTTATTTTATTCATGATTCCTACCTTACCAAGTTTCCTAATAGGTATTCTTTAAAATCGCATCGAATAAAAATGAATTACTTGTCATGTTAATTCAATTCATACTAAATTCATATAATGCGATTCAACTAAGAATAGGACCGACTGGGCGCCATATTTTGACATCACAGCTGTCAATTCAAACCAAACAGGTAGAGTGAGCAAAAAAAAAAAGTTTCTATTTACATAAAACTTATTAACTAAGATTAAGTGAGAAAAAACAATAGCTTTCTTTTTTAATAAAATTAATTTACTGAGATTGAGAGAAAAAACAAACTATTTTTAATAATATTTCTTTATTAAGACTGTGAGAAAAAACATTAATCAGAATCTAGCTCTTCAATTCCGCTCATCTCTGCATTACCGCCGTAGTAGTTATGAATAATCATGCAGGTCACATACGAACACGCATCCTATATGTAAAAGAAAGTATTAAATCGAGTTCCTGAACGCAACATAAAGTGACATTTGGTTGACGATTTAGGACATCAACCATTCATATCCAAAGCTCAATAAAGGAAAAATAATATCAACCAATATTAATTATCAATATTTGTTATTGTTTGTTTAAAAATGATCGATTTCTATTCTAGAATTAGCTGAGTGCTAAAAAAGTGTTCCGAGATTTTTTGCAAACTGTACTTTTCAAGCGACATTTGACAGATGAAGGTCATTGGCTTTCCTATTCTTATTTGAATTGCATTATAGGTTGACCTATGTTTCATTTAATATTAAACATAACCTCAAAAAATATTAAATTTTCCTGATAATTTAAGTTCTCAGAAGTGCCCGTCAATAATCTTTGTTTTTTTCTTTACTTGCAATTTCGAACCTAGAAAATAATATTTCATGATTGTTGGTTCTTAGGCTAACATTGTATGGACGCAGAACAATGTCACTTCAAAAACTAGAATTTGCTATCTTATATACTTAAGATTTTTTTTTAATTTAGACTGTTTTAGAAAGGTGAATAGCAGTAAGTACTTACCCACTAAAACACAAAATGGATGCGTGTAACTTATGTACGCGCGTGAGAAGTTATACTTCTTTAGCATCATTAAAAATATTTTTTAATTGCATGCAAATAATTAATAATTACAATAAAATAATAAAAGGACTGGAAAAGGATAGTTAACACAGTCAATTAAGTTCAGTTTTAATTTGAAAAATTAAATAAATATTCAAAATATTCAATTAAAATCACTACTGAATTTAAGTTATTAGTCCATATGTAATTAGCACTTGTAAGTAACTAAAACACGTTGTGTCTATAAAGAAACTAGAAACATGTGGATAAATATTATAACTATGATGATCAGAGGCGACGAGCGTGCCAACATTGTTTTTGACAACGCGATCATCTTATGGAGCTCCGTGGATCGTTCAAAGTACCTTTCGAACAGATGTCTAATAATGGTGGATTATTAACCACTAAGTGGTTAACAATCCACCATTATTAGACACTAACATTCATAACGCGCCCGCGGCCAACTTCATGGTGTTACTATTGTGTTACAGTGATGCGCGCGCATCTCGAAATTTCACTCACATGATTTTTTCATAACGCGCCCGCGGCCAACTTCATGCTGTTACTTTTGGGTTACAGTGATGCGCGCGCATCTAAAAATTTCACTCTCATCATTTTTTCATAACGCGTATAAAATGTAATAAAAACGTAAGGAGGGATTTCAACACAGGAAAACGTTATAGAGTTAAAAGTAGGTTGTACTATAGTTATATTATAAATAATATAATTCTTACGGAGAATGTTAATAGACAGTCATGATTAAGAAGATAGTGGACCTAGGTCAAGGCTTTTATGCAGAGATCGAATGCTACGTTATTTTTAACCGACAAAAAAAACGAAATAGTTTGTCATGTCAACGCGTATATATTTTTATTTATGACTACGCATAACTGCTTACAGAATGTTCAGGTTTTGATAATTATTTTTATTGAAAAGCGACCTCGAAGTTGATCCCATATAAATTTGGGAAACAAAAATTCAACCATAAGGATAGGAAAACAGGAGATGATTGCTTGTTCACTCACTGATTTTTTTTTACTTTAAGCACATTAGTCCGATTTACATGTTTGTTTTTTATTGAATAGTGTATACCTCGAAGTTGGTTCCAGATAAAGGAAAAAAGGATGGGAAAATAAGGGTGATGGTTCACTCACAGATATTGTTGCTAAGTTGTATATTACAAAGATTATAGCCAAATAAAAACTTTAAAACAAAAAAACCAAACCACAGAAAAAATTAAAAAATAATATACTTTTTAATTTTTCTTTAATAACTTAGTTCTTAAACTGATGTTAGCAAATGCCTATACCTCGGTAATCTTGAGTCGGCGCCTTTTTACCCGGCTGCGCAATGCAAGAGCGCGAAGCGCGACGCGCAGACAGGGTTATGTGTTTAACAGTCTATATATGTATGTTTGTTCCTTTGTGGCACACTAGAGACCAAACGCCTGGACCGATTTTGATGATTCATACATCAATCGATTCGTCTCAATCATGGGAGTGCTACTAAAGATATGATAGTAATCAAAATTCAATATGGGCAAAATTAGGCGCCATATTGTGACGAAGTAAAAAAAGAAAGTTGACAAAATATGTCGAGTGGGGTATCACTGTCTAGATAATCAAAAATCATATTTAGGTTTCTTACACCATTTTTCATTCTATATGATTGTTTAGGATCTACAACGCTTTAAAGTTGTATATTAACCACTTACGCTTTTAATTTCAATCTTACGTTTCTATGGATCTTTGTTACTCTTTCACCTAAACATTACTGAATGGATTTTAATGAAACTTAACAGTAATATAGCTCATATATGATAATTACATATATATAATAATTTATGTAGTTATTGAGTGAATTGGCCAATATATAGCAATAAGTGTCACATAAGACGGAAAAAATGTCCCATCTGCGAGCCATTTTGGCCTGCACTGCAAAAACAATAAAAGTTACATGAATGTAATGTAAAGTGAAAATGTATCTCTTAAATAGTTCTGAAAAAAAGTCCGTGACACCATGTATCTATTTTTAATGTGTAAGTCATTACCGCTAAAATAGTGAATCAAAACTAAAATATTATTTGATATCTATTTCCAAAATGCACATTTTGTATTAACAAATCATTTTTTATCAAAAAAAATACTTCAATCGCTTTTGATATTTAAAGACGATAAACTTTGCTTTTTACACTATGTCATTTCGACAAATATTTAAAAAGTTACAACGATGACAAAGTGATAGCGCGGTGTACTATGTAAAAGAAAAAAAATGGGGTATTCGCAGTATCCGATCCTATACGAAGTACTAACATTAAAACTGAGATACAGTTCCTTCTTATTAAATGATGAAAAATATATTATCATAATAGGTATTTATGATTATTGAATTTTAATGAAAAACTCAGAATTTTACTGATTTTCATTTTTTTTAATGATATTACTTAAGGTTACAAAAAAGGTTTACTTAATATAATGACAAATAACCCATTTTTCGCTAGTAAGTACATACTTATTGGAATCCCTGTATTTATTAATCAGCTCGCGATAATATTGGTTTTGTAATAATTCTGCAAAATTCAAAGTAAATAATGTAAATTTTTATAGGTAAATCACCCCTTTCATCACCCTACGCCTATAAGTATTGCGATGTTGTAGCTAAGAACCAAGTTCCCATCTACTTCTATATGGGAATTCATTATATTCGATTTAGCTATTAGGGCACGGAAGCGCAACAAACAAACTCACTTTCGCATCTATAATATTATATTATACTTACTAGTGATCCACCCGGGCATTGTCCGGGCGAAATTTATTTATCGGGATAAAATATAGCCTATGTCACTCGGACAAAATGTATTTAAATTAAGAAAAATGTTATAATAAATAATGTAGCTACCTTATGATGAATTAATATTTGAAACCGATTCAGTAGTTTGACAGATTGTTTGTTACAAACATACAAATCTTGCCTCTTTATAATATTAGTATAGATAGTTAGGATAAGATAAGTATTTAATTGATGAAAAAGATTTAAAAAAAGTGTGAAATAAAAAAGGTAAATTTAAAAAATCAAACAACCCGTCTGCTTAATTATACTTCAAATAAAAACTGAAAAGAAAAAAAACAAGTCCAGTAGTCTATAATTCTGTTAATAAGGAACAAAGCTACTTTAACAGTCGGGACCCATTATTGAAAAATATTATGTATTCTTGAATATCTAATGGGTCCCGACTGTTAAGGTAGCTTTGTTTCTTATTAACAGAATTATAGACTACTGGACTTGTTTTTTTTCTTTTCAGTTTTTATTTGAAGTATAATTAAGCAGACGGGTTGTTTGATTTTTTAAATTTACCTTTTTTTTGGATTGGCAATGTTTATCGCTGGAACGTTGCATTGTTAATTTGGTTTGGTTATTACTTTAAATTTAAGGTAATTTAATCATCTTTATTTGTTGATTATTTGGTAAACAATGATAAGTTTTCTAAAGCAGAGGAACTTGTAGCACTTAGGTAATGCTTGGGTTTATTTTAAAATTCCTTAATTGTTTAAATATTTCCTAATATTTTTAAGGTTAAGGGTTTTTTAAGTAGTCAACCTCAATTCTAATTGTATTGTATTTGGGTAACTACCCATTAGTCATTAATATATTTGGTAGTAATAGATTCCTCCGTCATTAATTACAGTATCATTAACGCTGCACTGGACTAAATTGGGTATCTTTCTTTGTCAAATACTTATCTCGTGTGTTTTATTGTTCCGTTAATAGCCATGACGTATTAAGTAATGCAAACATAAGACAGACTACGAACGAACAAAAATGAAGCTGACTTGGTTTTGATCGGAAAACTTGCGTGGTACGAGGTCTGTCGGCAACCTCGCACTACTTGCTCGCTAGTTGCACAAGCGCCCGTTCTCTCGGCATTGAACATGACCCATACTGGCACCTGGATTCCCCGCAACACCTAAATCCACATTGCCTGTGACATTGCAAATATCCGGCTTTCCGGATATCCGTATTGGTTGATATGCCACTCCTCAAACAAATTAAATGGCTTTAATAACCTGTTCCTACCTATGATACAATAAATTCCTATTTAATATTAATAATAATCGTCGATTGTTTACTTTACGTAATAGATAACTTTTGAAGGCGTCTATGTAAAATTAGTAACCTTTCAAGGTAATTAAAACCTTTCAAGGTAAAACTGTACCTTATCTCAGTATAAAATCAAAACAAAAATGATGTTTTGATCAGAATTACTTACAAGTTCTTTTAAATAAAAATAATCAATTTAAAGTAATAGATAGTCTTTATCTAAAACTTAAGTGGCACTTTATAAAGTCTTAACAAAAAGCTCTTTTGTTATCTAAAACAATGGAAAAGTAACTAATGAAGAAATATTATTGAAAACACTTATTCTTTCATGTTTTTTATGATAAGGACTACAAAGTTTCTAACCTAGGCACATAAATAAAAAAAAGCTCTTTTAAAAAACAAGCTTTTATTCGTTTTTACTTATTTACATTTTCCATTAATAGGCAGAATAATCCCAGGCGAAGGTTTTTATGTCTAATATAAGCCCCGGGTAAAGACTAGACTAGAAAGAAAGACAGTCACTACTTAGCTAAAAATAATAATCTATTTAAACGATTTGAATTAAACCGTCCCATAACTACTTCCAGTTTTAACTTAACACGAAAAGTTTTCATTTAATACAGAAAGAAAAATAAAACAGAGTTCGTGTTTTTGACTGGTATTAATATTTTATTTTTAAGTAATTAGGGGAAGCCTTTTGCCCGCAAATCGAATATTTTCAGGGAAAGACTAAAAAACACAGAAATTTCTAATTAACAACAGTGTTTTTATTATTAATTTTTCCTTTGGTTAATCATCTTTTGAAAAATACTAGTAAAAACTTGGAAACTATTTTTTTAGCTAACTTCACTGCCGTTAAGTTTGAAACTATACCCCAGTATCCACTACAAAATGTATCTAGCTAAGTATGCCTACAAAAATCTTGTGACACCCGGGAGTAGCCAACTCCACACATAGGTAGCTATGTACTCCACATCACATAGCTTGCGCGTTGCCTTTTTCATCTGTACTTTTTGTAGACTCCAATATACTGAATAAAAACTGGAAGACTATAAAATATCACTTTACTAGGTACTGTTTTCTGTAAGGTAGAGGATATTTCCCAAAGCGTGTGATAGCAAAGTGACGAGTGGACTGAGTGGACAATTCACTCTGCCTTAGTTCTGAGTAGCCCTGCCTCTTTTACCGTTGATTATCACGTGTAGTTGACCTTTGTTTTAAAAGCCCAGGGTCATTTTAACACATACCTAGTACCTACTCTTGAGCCGCCCTTTCTTCACTTTGGTGTAGATGTAGTGTAGACTAGGTTAGAGTTTGGTTTCTCGGATGTGTATTGTACATATACATTCCGTGACAATTGTACGTGACGAAAACCGCATGAAAATGTACTCAGTACTCGTAGTTTGGATAGCATTGCCAAAATACAACAAAAAAAACTAGACAAGGTTGGGGACTTCAATTGATAATATGTATATAGTAAGGAATATAGTTTATGCTCAACTGGCGTTAATGTTTCAGTACCAACCTATTACTTAAGGTTTATATATGTTTTTTTCAGGTCTTACAATGGCTGTTCCGGAGCATAAACTTGAGAACGGTCCGATATCAAATTCGAAGTACAACTCTATATTTTTACAGTAATCGTTTGAGCATTTAAGCACACATCCACTTTTTTGTTTATTTTTCATTGAAATGTAAAAGCTTTAGCTTTGGGCGATGTACATAGAGATTAAATAAAACTAGTTTTTACGGGTTAATGCACGAAACTTTATTTATTTATTGACGTTTCGCAGCCTTTTCAGGTCTGCATCGTCAGAATAATGATTTTTTATTTAAAATTGTCGAGCTACCTTCGAAAGACTTATATTGAGCGTTCGGTTATTTCATTGGAAGATTTTTAAAATTTTTATTGTCTATGTATGAATTTATTATTTAATTTACTTAATAAAGTATTTTATTTAAAATTCTTGATTGTAATTTTGAGTTTATTTATTTATATAGGGAAGGGAAGATGGTTGGTATATACCACCAGCTTGGGAACCTATTATACAGGAGATAAAATCCCAACCCCGAGCACACACTGCAAGACCATCAGATACTATTAGTTCTTTTTGTTTGCATAATTTAACATAAGAAGGAGATAGAAAGCCTCTCTTGAGTTTGTTTCGCCGGTTCTTCTCAGGAAGGTCTTCCAATTTTGGAACCGGTGGTAGTTTACGGTAGTTAGGGTCAAATAAATAAACTCAAAATTACAAACAAGAATTTTAAATAAAATACTTTATTAAGTAAATTAAATAATAAATTCATACATAGACAATAAAAATTTTCAAAATCTTCCAATGAAATAACCGAACGCTCAATATAAGTCTTTCGAAGGTAGCTCGACAATTTTAAATAAAAAATCATTATTCTGACGATGCAGACCTGAAAAGGCTGCGAAACGTCAATAAATAAATAAAGTTTCGTGCATTAACCCGTAAAAACTAGTTTTATTTAATGAGTGATGTGCGTGAAAACCTAAGAAACAAATACATAGAGATTGTCATATAGTGTAGCACCTGGGGCGAAACCAAACATGAAAACCTCGAATTTGAGCTGCCGTGAATAAAATTTAAAAATGTAATTTATATCTACTAAGATATATAAAAAGTTAACCAATCAAAAAATTGTATATATTTTTGAAGTGAAAACTTCTTTAGCGGCGTTGTAAACTTTTTTTGTAATGGGTAAAACTAAAAACTGTTAAACTCGCGTCAGGACACGTGGCCTGATAGCGTCAGTCCTGGCGTCCTGATTAGGTCACGTGTCCACGTAACCTAATCGAAAATTCGTAAGACGAAAACAATAAAATTGGAAAGGTTGTTAACTTTCAATATATTGGACGAAACATAGTAATATTTTATTTTATCGTATTATATTATTAAGTCTCTAATTAGGACGTCCAGGTGGTAGCTTTATTGCGAAGAAAATGTATACTATTTTTTTACAATACATGTCGCTAGGTGCACTTAAATGTGATTCATGTAAGTTGATTTTTCTGAGAGATAAACTTTTTAATGTAAGTATTATATATTGCCATATTAAGCGCAATAAATAAATATTGTATTCTACCACATAAATTATAGTACTTTTAAACTGATAATTAAAGCAATTCGTGCAAAATTATTCCCTAACCATTTCAAAATATCAAAAATGCACAACGTTAATATTCAAGTTTTCACTTCTACCGGCACTCCCGGAGTGCAACAATGCAAAGCAGAATTTATATATGTAAGAACTTACAAAAATATTAATGTTTGCTGAAATAATAAAAAAATCAAAAGCACAAAATAAATGGTAAATGTTGTAATTTTACTATAAAATACAAAATTCCATTTGAACCGTAATTTACTCACTGCAGCAAAAGTCCGAGGTCTAAACTCTGAACCCCCAGGCGCTCCACTTATACTTTACGTTGAAACGTTAGATGCTGATATTAAAAAAATATAACTTAAGACACGTTGTTTGAAACACAACAGTAAAATTAGACTATAGTTAATATTAATTTCATAGGTATACATAGTAAATGTATAAAATTTTGACAAATGGCTATTTTACACTACTATTTTAAATAATTATGTTTCAAACAACGCGGCCTTAGTTATTATATTTCCGTAAAGACTTCTTCTTATATGTTAGGTTATAGGGTTTTCCCCAAATTTTGGCAAATTAGGGATTTTAAATACTTTATTTGCATACAGCTATTACTATAATATAGCACTTAATAACACTATCAAGAAGTTAATATGACTTAAACTTTTCAGACACGGTAAAAAAATACTACAATATAAACCCTAATGTATTTATTTCCATACTACTAATTTCAACTTCAACTTAGCTTATTATTTAATTTAAAATAGCAAACAGTTTTTTTGTACAAAGGATGGGATGTCTGTAGTAGTAATGTGATCATTATGTTATTCGTTGTCATTTGTATTTTATGAAATATGTTTTATACTAATTTGTTATTTATGATTGATTACAGAAATGGAGGCTGGAGATTTCAAGGACTTCGCTAAGGCGATGACTGACTACATAACCGAATACTTGGAAAATATCCGAGATAGGTAAATAATTTCATAAGTTGACATAAATCAGCTAAATTACCTACGTGTAGCTTAGATACCTATAAGATATATATATCATGTTAACGGGAGAGTTTCGATACTGTAGCATGGATTATATAAACATCCAATGATATCTATTGGCAATCGGTTGCAATAAATTATTGTTATTACCTATTGCGGTTTCAATTATTGTAAGATATATTTATTATGCTTTAAAGTGGCTACAACACATAGGCTATAAAATCAACATGATTTTATAGCCTATGTATATCCATAGATGCATAAATTCTATTCAAATTAGGTACTCCTTGCCACCACTCGGTGATGACCTAATCTCATTTCCCCTAACACGTGGAGCTAAGACATCCAACCGAACCCATCAGAATTACTCCTCTGGCTACAGGTTTTTTGTATAGTGAAGGTTACCTACTTACCCCAAAAATATACTCCGATTCTAGTAGGAAATTAAGTGAGTTATGTTGGGTGAATTGGAGTTTTAAAGAGCTTTATTGTTAGTTATACTGCGATTTTCAAAGTGCATACATATCTAGCCTTTTTTTTTAATTGAAATAACATTTTAAGTTACTAAAAGTACTCGTAAATCCATTTTTAGTTGTTATAATCCGATTGATGCAGATTTTTATTAGGAGTGTCATTTCACCTGGGGGGGTAAAGGGGTTTCTTAGTTTTCTTTTAGGGTTAAATATATACATTTACGCAAATTACAAAGTTTTATCAGTTGATATTTTAGATCATCGTTATGACATAATATAATTTATTCATATTTATTTTTCTTTAGTCACTAATGAATGAATTTGTTTATTATTAATAACAAAGAATATTAAAAAATATAATAACTCGGGCAAAAATTCCTATTTCTTAGACTCTTCTGATAAGAATATTTTAGGAGTTAATATATTAAGATAATGTCGACAATTGTGCAGTTATTTAATGGGAAAGTCAACTATGTCTCATCTCAACATTGCCAAAATTGGGTTGGATTGGTTTCTCCACTAATGAGGGTGTTTTGTGCTACTGTGATACGAGACCTTCTATATGAAGTTTTTGTCGCGAAATAACATGAAATTAAATTAATCCATAGATATAGACAGATGAGTAAGTAGACCTTTCTTCTCAGTGCTGTCACCTGGCGCCCGTCATACCAGAAAACCCTCATTTAGAAAAATTACCAACTCACACCAATAGGGGTGACGACGGGGTAAAGTAAACGAAACTATTTAGTCCGTCAGTAAGATGATCTAAAAATAATGGTCACGCATTTTTTATTTGGGCAATCAACCAAAAAATGACAAAGATAAAGCGCGTCAAAGTTTGGAAGTAGGGGCTCGTGACGTCACTTTTAAGTGAAATTTGTACCAAAACGTGACGTCATGCGTCTTTTCAAACCAATATATCTCTGCAATGTTTATATTATGTGAAAAAAGAAAAAAAATCCAATACTTTTTGATAATCTACCTGATAAACGAAGAAAAAAAATTAGTCGTCATTCCTATTAGCCCAGCCCCAAAGTAAGCACTGTAAGGCTTGTATTATGCGATAATAGGTTAACGGATAGAATACATACTTATATTGTACATATATAAGTATATTTATATAGAAATACATATTAAACATCCATGACTGGAGTACAAATGCTCTTATTAATCACACAAACATCTGCCCCCACCGGGGCCTCTCGAGTCGGCGTCACCATGAAACCCGGCGTATAAACCACTCGGCCACGGAGGTCGTCATTAACACTACGAAACACAATTCCAGACAAGTAGTACCGTCCGTGAAGCCGGGCTACCTCCGGCCGCTGGTGCCTGAGCAGGCGCCGCAGCAGGCGGAGCCATGGACGGCGGTGATGGCGGACATCGAGCGCGTCGTCATGTCCGGCGTCACCCACTGGCACTCGCCGCGCTTCCACGCCTACTTTCCCACTGCAAACTCTTACCCGGCCATCGTAGCCGACATGCTTAGCGGCGCGATCGCCTGCATCGGGTTCACCTGGGTAAGTATAAAAATATTGAGTAATGTCATAGCCATTGTTTAATTATCCGCGTTTTCACATAATCCCTAGGGTTTTTGCGAAAATCGTATCATCCTATGACATAATACAATACGTAGGTACTTAAAAGACAAAAAATCTGTTTCCTTTTTGATAGTTAATAAAACTTACTTTCGTTTTAAGCATCTCTATCAAAATCAATTATTAAATTAATGAAAAGTAATGCATAAGTTTTCATTTAATTTTAAAGTTTTCTTATAGATATATCTACTGTTTCGAAGAATATGGATTTTGTTTTAAATTAATTTTATCTTTATAAAATTATATTGTAGTACGTAAGTAATATATGTAATAATTCATCTAGGAAAACAGTTTCCTTGTTAAGCGGATCTAAAGATTAAATGACGCCAATGAGGAAAAATAATATAATGTAGGTATATCATAATTTAAATATATATATATGTGATGTAACTAAAATTTTACGGTTTTCGCAATTTTTCCTTTATCTGTGCTATAAGACGTTGCTTCGTACCAAATTTCAAGATTCTGAGTTTACGGGAAGTACCCAGTAGGTTAGGTAGCTTGCGAGTTTCGAAAATTCGAAATTTGCTGCATATTCGGCTGAGCTGTATCTTTTGATTGCGTTGGCATAGAAGTCTGATTTTTTCACAGCTCCATGGGACAGTAAACCGTATTTGATATTAATTGTAGCTTGATACCTCCACGCGTTATTGAGTAAAACGGGTATAATAAGGGTTCAGTTTTTTCCTTTCCAGGTACGGAACTCTAAATATGTGTATCTTCATGATTATTTTATATCTAAATTAGCTGTCCCAGCGTACTTCGTACCGCCAATAGGGGTTGGTGGTAGAAGGGTGAAAATTTATTTATATATTTATTCTATTTAATTTAGTCTCAGATCTACTGAATATGGATATAAAATTTCACAAAAATCGGTCGAGCCGTTTCGAAATAGTTCTATTACACACACCGTGGCACGAGAATTTTATATATTAGAACTAGCTGGCTGACAAAAAGAACTAATAGTATCTGATGGTCTTGCAGTATGTGCTCGGGGTTGGCACATACTGCAAGACCATCAGATACTATTAGTTCTTTTTGTTTGCATAATTTAACATAAGAAGGAGATAGAAAGCCTCTCTTGAGTTTGTTTCGCCGGTTCTTCTCAGGAAGGTCTCCCAATTTTGGAACCGGTGGTAGTTTACGGTAGTTAGGGTCAAATAAATAAACGCAAAATTACAAACAAGAATTTTAAATAAAATACTTTATTAAGTAAATTAAATAATAAATTCATACATAGACAATAAAACTTGAAAATCGAACGATGAAATAACCAAACGCTCAATAAAAGTCTTTCGAAGGTAGCTCGACAAATTAAACAAAAGTTTTATTTTGACGACGAAGCCTGGAAAGGCTACGAAACGTCAATAAATAAATAAAGTTTCGTGCATTATCCCGTTTAAACTAGTTTTATTTATTCTATCTCTCAAGTTGGATCGAACTGCACACGGTGTGCGAATTTTATTATAATCGGTTCAGTGGTTTAGGAGTCCACTGAGGACAAACATTGTGACACGAGATTTATATATATTAAGACTAGCTGACTCGGCGAACTTCGTACCACCCAAAAGTAATAATTTGCAATAAATTAAAATTGCGACTATAATTTGAGATTTAAACTATCCTATCTCTCAAGTTGGATCGAACTGCACATGGTGTGCGAATTTTATTATAATCGGTTCAGTGGTTTAGGAGTCCATTGAGGACAAACATTGTGACACGAGATTTATATATATTAAGATTATATGAGCGTATCTATAGTATGTAGTATGTAACAACCTTCTAGCTACTGGTACTAATAGAAGTACATACTTATTGTGTAATAAATACTGGTTGTATTAAAGATACCTTTGCAGATGGTCACGTTTTGCGTTTTGTGCAACCTCTCCAAGCTAGAGTTGCGAATAGCTTTTAATGAATCTCTAACGCGACTCAATCAGGAGTGTCAAGGCATAGAATGAGTCAGGCTGTTAAAGTAGGATAAATTAAGAAAAGTACAAAGATACGCCACCTGTTTTCATATTTGATAGACATATGAAGTTTACAGCAAGTAATTTCTTGATCAATTTTAAAGTTAGTGCTAACGTTCAAACGTAAAAATAAAAAAGCACACTATGGAAAAAGTACCTAAGGGACGCTTAGTGTTGGTACCTAGTTCTTGAAATATTCATAAAAATGAGAGATGACACTGTGACATTTTGTTACAATCGTTACTTTTTGACCCAAACATGACTGGCTACTATCATAGTTCATTCGGATTTTCAGGTTACAGTAGTTACAAAAAATTCGTAGACTCTTTATTGCATATAATCTCTGCGGTATTTCGAAATTTTTCAAAATAGTCTTTATTTTCAGATCGCAAGCCCAGCGTGCACTGAATTGGAAGTAGTGATGCTGGACTGGCTAGGTCAGATGCTTGGCCTGCCGGAACAGTTTCTTGCTCGCTCCGGCGGCGAGGGCGGTGGAGTCATTCAAGGGACGGCCAGTGAGGCTACCCTTGTAGCTCTGCTCGGCGCTAAAGCCAGGACAATCCAGCGCGTCAAAGAACAGCACCCTGATTGGACCGACACACAGATTCTATCTAAACTTGTTGGCTACTGTAACAGTAAGTACCAAACTTATCTTAAATTCAATTACTCAGCGATATGGAGTAAACATACAACAAATTATGACCGTAATTACATACATAGTCTTGTTGTATAAGGATCACGTATTTAGACAAAAACTTGTCTATGCATTGGTAAGTTGTAGTAGAAAAAAACAGTCCTTGCTGAATTTCTTGCCGGTTCTTCTCAGTACAAGGTCTCCCACCGTAGATTTATAAACCGATGGGGTAACTTCTAGACATTTATGATTGCTGGTTGTTACCAGCAATCATAAATTGCCTAAACTGAATAAATGATTTTGATTATGATTATTATGATTAAACCACACATTTTGCAAATTGTTTAAAATGTAGATTTGCCATAAAACGCCTGTACATTAAATATACTTACTTACATCAACGACTAAACTTGTTTCTGAAGTACGGAGGAGCTCAAAATTATATAATATTAGATCTTCATCCAATGAATGGCCATTTCAAAAGTTCCTTTATTTCCACAAACACAGACCGAATGTGCCAGCCACTGCGCCCTCAAGCTCCTCTCCACACCCTGTAAAAGGTGAACGGAGAGATCATAAAAGCATTCCTAGCGTACATTAGTTACTTGTATAATACTTGATGCTATCGATCAGTATTACTCTCATTGTTATTCTAGAGCAAGCCCATTCGTCAGTGGAGCGCGCTGGACTGCTGGGAGGCGTGAAGCTGCGCACACTGAGACCCGACAACAAGCACCGTCTGCGCGGCGATACGCTGAAGGACGCCATCGAGGAGGACCTGAAGAACGGGCTCATACCCTTCTATGTAAGTAGGATACGATAGTACAGTCCGCACTCGACTGTGAAACGCGCTGGCTTGCTAGGCGGCGAAGTTGCGCATGCTAGAACTTGACAACAAGCACCGCCTGCGCGGCGAAACACTGAAGGACGCCATCGAGAAGGACCTGAAGAACGCGCTCATACCCTTTTATGTAAGTGGGATACGATAGTACAGTCCGCACTCGACCGTGAAACTCGCTGGCTTGCTAGGCGGCGAAGTTGCGCTGGCTATAGCTTGACAAAAAGCACCGTCACGCCCTGCACAATTACCATAAGGTTTGAATAGCACTATGCTCTTGCATCGTGCTTCAAAGTTCCTGAATTCGAATTCAAATAATTCGTAAAGAAACTCTGCTTACCTTACGACTAAATAATTATTTTGAGTTCTTTAGAATTCATTAGTCTCATCATCGGACTCTTTATGATCCCACTGCTGTAGCACCTGCCCCCTCTATACTCGTACACCCAAAACGGCTTTTTGAAGTAAGGAGTGCCTCGAGATAGTCATACGTACTATGTTTTTGAGATCATCATCCTATGACTGGCCGAATGAAGATCGAGAGCACTACTGCTTGCTACGTCGAGTTCCTATAGTGGTAACTGAATTTTAGGTATGACCAGCTAGAGGGCTAGAATACAGAATTGATAATTAATATCAGTTCATTAAAGCTGCATTTAAAAATCTTTTCTTGAGTCCTCGCTGATAAGTGTCAATTGTGTTTTTTTACAGGTTGTAGCTACACTGGGTACTACATCATCTTGCGCCTTCGATGTTCTCGATGAATTGGGTGACGTTTGCAACTCTCATGACATTTGGCTGCACGTGGACGCGGCGTACGCTGGCTCCGCATTCATCTGTCCAGAGTACCGCTACCTGATGAAGGGTGTAGAAAAGGCGGATTCCTTTAACTTCAATCCCCACAAATGGATGCTCGTCAACTTTGACTGCTCCACCATGTGGCTGAAGAACCCACGTTGGGTCGTAGACGCGTTCAATGTCGATCCACTTTACTTGAAACATGACCATCAAGGTGCCGCTCCTGACTACAGACACTGGCAAATCCCTCTGGGACGTCGTTTTAGAGCACTCAAGTTGTGGTTTGTGTTGAGACTGTACGGAATTGAGAATCTCCAGAAACACATCAGGAAACAAATAGGACTTGCGCATTACTTTGAAGAATTCTGCAACAAAGACGACAGATTTGAAATATATGAAGAGGTCACCATGGGTCTTGTATGTTTCAGATTGAAGGGGGACAATGAGATAAATGAAGAGCTTTTGAGACATATAAATGGTAGAGGCAAAATTCACTTAGTCCCGTCGAAGATTGATGATGTTTATTTCCTAAGACTAGCTATTTGCTCCCGCTTTACAGAGAATTCTGACATCGACTTATCATGGGAAGAAATAAAAAGTTGTGCAGATGAGGTACTTAAAGGAGTATCCAAAAATTAAACTTTTCCATTGACCTAAATTTTCGATCGTCTTGCATGTCATATTTACAAAAAAGCGATTGATATAAATTAAACATCGATGAAATCCTTTCTCTTGCCTAGTAAAGATATATTACACATGACAATAATGGAAATAATAAAAAGACACATTTATTGTTGGTTATAAGTAACTTAATAAGTTGCTATTTAGATAGTAGAATTTTGAATGCTATTGTGATAAATATTTATAAATTGATGTAAATAAATTTGATTGAGTTACAAATACCATCTTGTTAAAACAAAATAACTGCTATGAAGTTTAACTGAATACGTGTGGTATGAAAGAATGAATCATGTAAGTCGTGTAGTTATTCCTACACCGTCTCTTCGTCGGCCTCGCTTTGTAAAAGTATTAAAGTATATAGTTTACATATTATTTCTGAATTATTGAAATACCTAGACTATGCTAAGTTAATGTAACTTTAATAGTTTAATGGAGTAATCAAAAAATAATTTTTATATTAAGTTGTGATCATCCAATTTATTAATCATAACTACATCATGGACTTATAAAAAAGGCGGACAGAGTCCCGGTAAACAATAAACTGTGTCGCTCAAAGTCGGCCAGGTCGCTGTACGTACAAGCCGGCACGCACACATTCACACAATAGTCAGCCACTACGCGTGCAAACGTCAAAGCAGTCGACACGTTACGTGGAGATAAAAAATAAGCTAAACAAGATATCTTGCTTGTAAAAAGGTGTAAAAACCGTAGTGACCGAAAGAAAAAAAATCCAGGAATCACGTTTCATAGGTAAATGAATAATTGAATCACTTTTTTCTAGTTTTTAGAAATCGAAATCAATTTTAATTCTAAGGACAAAATGATTAGTCTAAAGCCCAGTGTTGCCAATGTTCATGTAACCATATTACCTAAAATATGGGAAATTGGGTTGACATTAACTTCAATCTATTATTTATTATTCTTTTTTATCAGATTTCCTAAAGAAAATGTAGTATGGAGAAATTACTGGAAAATGAATGATTTCCAAACAAATATGTAGTAGTGTCATTTTTAGTCTTCATTTTGAAGCTCAAGACTTATATACAACTAAAGGAGGACTCCGGCATGTTATTACGTATGCATTACCTCAAAAGGTTGATTAAAATTTTTAACCGACTTCGAAAAGAAAGAGGTTCGCAATGCGTCATATTTGTTTTTTTTATTGTTGTTCGCGCAGATCTCCGAGATTCGTGGGCCGTTTATGATGATTCTTTTTTTGTTTTAATCGGTTTACTAGCGAGATGGCTGCATATTAATTTACTGGAGATCTGATGAGTACATTCGGAGGAAAACAATGGAACTCCTCAATTACAAACAGTACTCAATGGCTGTTAGTTTATTTTAAGAAACATGAAAGAGAATGCAGGCCAGTATATTTAGTTGATTTACCCAATATTGAGAAAATTCGGTACATTCTAGAATTTCTAATGAGTCCCGACTGTTAAAGTAACTTTGTTCCTTATTAAACAGAATTCTAGACTACTGGACTTGTTTTTTCTTTTTAGTACATTTTTTTTTATTTTTGACATTTTAATTTCATTATTTTTTAATTACACGAGTTGTATATTTTCTAAATATTCTTTTAAAACCCTTCACTTTGATACCTCGCTTGACGGGTTATAATAATACTTATACTTTTTTTTGAAAATGTTTCATTTTGGCGCATAAAATCTGTTATTTTGATTTTTGAAATTTTAATATACCGAGTGCCACTCACACAATCACGACAAATCAAATGACACCTCGCATGTCAAAATCCGTCAAGACGTTCAGGCTGTAGGCTGTGCCAAATTATTGGACATACATACATACATGCATACATACGCTCGAAAAACATTATCCTCCTCAGTCAGGCAAAAAGTAAAATTTTGAACAATCAAAATATTTTCATGTTTATACTGTGTTTTATTGGTAAAAAATTGGCTAACCTAGCAACCCTACAATTCACTCACTCATCAATAGCCGCCGCCATTACGGTGCCTCAGTATTGTCTTAGCCGAAACTCTGTCCGCCTTTTTTTATACGTCCATGAACTACATAGTGTATTGAATTTCCAAATGAATATGAAAACTTTTTCTTATTTTTCAAAAACCTTTTTTAATTATTCAGTTCTTCTCAACCAATTATCTTATGGTAGCGGGAATTTATAAATATTTATATATAGGTATATAAATTTCATAACTCCGTTTATACATATTTTACGTGAAACTTTGTTTTTGCAAATTTTTGCAATATAACGTATCCAATTATTGTAAGTACCTTGTAATATTTGTAATACTTTATGAGACACGCACTTTTTTATTTATTGTGACAATAAGTTTGTTATGCATGTAGGTACTTGTAACTGTCTATTTATTATATGTAAGATGTGATATACGTAGAAATTTAATTAAAAATAAAACTAAAAAAAAAGTTACTACGAAGGTACGAATTTATGATTAGTGCTATTCATGTTTTTGCCGTTTAATGTTCCAATAAAAGAATGAGCATTTAGCGAGATTTTTTACTTATTGTATCTTTATTTATTTATCCACTATACGCTGATACGAAATTACAAAAATACGTGCGTTTGTTGACACAGAGAATAATTGATGTGGCTACACGGGGAGTGGCATTTAGGGTTCCTAAACCTTGACGGGATGCCCGGGACTCTGTAGGAAAGATGTTCGAAACCCTCACAGCCTTCAATAATATCTCTGTTTTTTTTCCTAAATTATGCAAATATTCATATTATACTTACCTATAAAGAAGTGTACTAAAAATACTCAATTAAGGTACCAGACGTTGGAAAACTCACCTTTAGGTTTTAAATTTTTTCACCATTTCCCATTCAGCATTCTATTAATATAATTTTCCACTGTTTCCAGTATTTAATAGTTATAGTAAATATTATTTGTAATTTCTTTTTCACTTAACGGTGTATTCATCCTACAGAGTATCGTAGGATCAATAGCAATAGAGAATAGTACAAATATGTGGTACTATTACATATTTGTCCTATCACTCTACTCTAATGCTATCGATGCAAGCCTGCTTGTCATTTTCTTTACATGAGGAGCTCGATGGCGCTACTGCGCAAGTGGTTAGCGCGTACGGCTGCGATCGTTGAAGGCAAGCAACTTTTGCATTGGTCGGACATTGAATGGGTGACCAATAATTTACTATCTCGAGCTTCTCCGTGCTTTGGAAGGCACGTCAAGCCGTTGGTCCCGGCTGCGTCTGCAGTCGTTATCACCCACCAATCCGCACTGGGCCCACGTGGTGTGTCATCGGCCCAATCTCCCTATTTCATCATTAGGAAAGGCCTGTGCCCCAGCAGTGGGGATATTAATAGGCTGATGATGATGATGAAGCTAGCTACAACTCAATTAAGGCACTTAACACAGTATATTTTAACATTGGTAAGATGGAAGATGCTGTTCGAAAAAATTACAGACTAAACTGCTCTCGATTTTGTTCGCATAGAATCTGCGCCGTAGACTATTAAGAGATAAAGAACATACCCCCCGGGAAACTCTAATGGTTATAAAAGTTTCAGAAAATCTACCCATAACGTTACAACAGAATTCTACTACAGTGGAGTTATCAATCCCTACTAAATAGCTAATGCAAACGGATGATAGATATAAACTTATATTATGTAGAGACTTCATTGCTTACATAAATGTCTCTACTGAATTAGTATGAAATATAAAATAGAATATAATGCTATCTCATATATGATGTGATCTCAGTGTATGAGCTAAAATTTCCTCCAACTTCCAAAAATAGTAAGATAGACTCATGGGTAACCGTTCCAGAAGAATTTAATCCACTTTAGATTAAAAAAAATGTGTTATCATTAAACCTATTTGGCAGTCTTCTGACATACTGAACCAATCATGCCTTAAAATAAATAATAGCAGAACGTTCTTTTTGATCTATGGTGGTTAGAGCTGTCTTCTTTTTATATTTATTAAATTCAAAATTACATAGTAAAATAATATCGTTGAAATGTCGTAAATTGCAGTAGGTTTTTATATTAACTATAATTTTACAGTATGAAATTGTCGCGTATGAAATTATTAACATGGCGTATGGACTCCAGAAATCTACTGAAACTTCTAAGCTCAAGAGAATGGCGAAGAGTGAGTGGATCAGTGAATTTTCGACGAGATCTAAGCAGTGCGGTGAGCACTTCAAGCGGTTCCAGCCTAGAACAATGTATCATGGACTCTTGCAGTATAAGTCCCAGCTGTCAAGAACCCCGTGTCATTATAGTAGGTGCTGGTATGGCTGGACTGTCTGCGGCTCACCGTCTCGCACAGTGTGGAATAAGGAACTTCATTGTCCTTGAAGCTAAAGAGAGGTTAGTTAATAATACGTAAATATCAACCTACACAAAATTTTACAGCTTGCATAGACTTTAAACTTTAGGATTGCATTATTCATCGTTATCAGCATATTAATGTTCCCACTGCTGGGGCACATGCTTTTTCATTGGAACCTAATATGATACCTGCTGTTAATAACATACTCCTTTTTTTAAGGCCTGGAGGCAGGATTCATTCGTGTTGGCTCGGAGATGCTGTTATAGAAATGGGCGCAGAATGGATTTTCGGAGCCTGTTTGCCTAATACGGTTTATACCTTGGCTTCGCAAGATAGATTATTACAAACGCCGTTACCACGCTTAGATTCATCTCGAGGACTATTCTGCACAAGTGAAGGAAGAGCGGTCGACTTACCAGTTACGATTACAGCATATCATACATTTCGGCAAATAGAACAGCAAGCCGCTAATTTATTCAGACTCGGTGGTGAAAGACAACATGGTACTTTACTTAATTTTATCGGATTGCGAATACAGCAAGAACTATACAACTTTCCCGAAGATCAGCGATATGATGCAGCAAGGGTAATGTTTGGTATGACAAATATTTTAAGAAATAAATGCGGGGACGATCTTTCGCTCGTTAGTGCCGATCAATACGGCAGTTACATAGAACTTCCTGGTGGAAATGTTAGAGTTCCCCTGGGATATGTAGGTGTTATGGCACCATTACTACGGGGCCTCCCTGATAATAGTATACGATACAATAAGCCTGTAAATGTCGTACGCTGGGGAACCGGTCAATCAGGATCAGGGCGTGTTCTTGTTAAATGCTGTGACGGCGAAGAGTTGACAGCTGATTATGTGATACTCACAATGTCACTTGGGTGTCTTAAATGTCAAGCTGATAAATTATTTGCTCCACCTCTTCCTGTCTGCAAACTGGATGCCATTTGTAACTTGGGTTTTGGACTCAGTGATAAGGTTTTCTTAGAATATGCTGAACCATTTTGGGTGTGTCATGAAGGAAGTCTTAAAATGGCTTGGTCAGCAGAAGAGCTTTGCTGTAGAAGTGACTGGACACGCGGAGTGTGTTCTGTGGATGAAATGCCAGGTAGTAAACACGTACTATGCGCTTGGGTTTCGGGCCAAGAAGCCGCTATTATGGAATCGATGCCTGACAATGATGTTGCAGAGGGATTGACGCAACTGTTACGTAGATTTACTGGTAATCCATGCTTGCCATATCCTCAGATGATGTTAAGATCTCGATGGGCATCAGACCCACATTTTTGTGGATCGTATTCCTATATGAGCTGCTGCTCATCAGTCAGCCATCAGTGTGAGTTAGGGACACCAGTACCAGGTCCTTGTGATCCATCTCCACCGAAACTTCTGTTCGCTGGTGAGGCTACAGTGCCTGGATATTTCGCAACAGTGCACGGGGCTAGGCTTAGTGGAATACGGGAAGCTGAGCGTATCATACAACTTACCAAAAAGTTTGAAGGGCCTCCACGTTAATAAAAATTTTCAGTTTTGTTTCATATAGTTACATGTATTTTCTCTTGTTTTATGTATTATAGTATTATTATTTCAGTAATACTTGTAATTTGGTTTTGTAGTCCTAATTAAATATCATGCAAATCAACGTTTTTTTTTAATATAGTGTCGATACTCATGTTATATATAGCTAAGTATATATCAAATAATATATGTATATATGCATATAACGCTCTTAATAAAAAAACGGTAACAAGAATGGCTCATAGATATTTTTTGTCCGTGGTCCACTGATCGATCCAAGGGCAAGTTTTTGCTAGTGACTCCTACCAGTTGGACTATCTTATAAAAATATCAAATGGTATTACATCTACTGATTCAGTAGAATCAAGATAAATTATTATACCTACCTGTAGAATACTTACCCTTTCTTAATCGTGTATCTAAATTATAGTACCTAATATGCAATTAGTTAACCACGCGAACAAAAAAAAACCCCTGGTACACCCAGTTATCTTTTGGGGCAGGACAGTCAGCAGCTCAATGGTGAAAATAGTGGTTGAAAAATAAATGTTCCAACGAGGTGGAAACTTGAACAGTAGGTATTCCCTAAACTTCTGTCCAAGTAGTGTAAGGGTAATAATAAATCTAAATAAGTTTACTAGAAAAAAAAAATCCACGCGGACCAGGCAGCGGACGGGACTCGATCCCGCACCTTTCGCAATCCGGGCGAATGCACTGACCATTATGCTACCACGGCTCTATTCGCCGCGTCGAAATTTTCCTAGCCTTAAGCTGCAAGGCAGCGCCATCTCTTCGCATTTTAGGTAACCCACAATGTCAAATGAATACTTTTTCAAGTATTAAACATTTGAAAGAAGAAATTGCAATTATAGTTTTGTTTTTATTTATTTTTAAGCATTTAACTGCTAGATATTTAAATCTAAATAAAAGTTTACTAGAAAAAAACTTTTATATTTCTATGTGAAGAGATGGCGCTGCCTTGCAGCTTAAGGCTAGGAAAATTTCGACGCGGCGAATAAGGCCGTGATAGCATAATAGTCAGTGCATTCGCCCGGATTGCGAAAGATGCGGGTTCAAGTCCCGTCCGCTGCCTGGTCCGCGTGGATTTTTCTTTCTAGTAAACTTTTATTTAGATTTAAATATCTAGCAGTTAAATGCTTAAAAATAAATAAAAACAAAACGGTAATAATAAAATCAGCAGCTGTTTCACTTTATTTTATAGGTAATGACTTCTTAAAATTTCAAGTGTAAAGTTTCTTTTCTATTTTATAGTGGCTATGCTGGACATACAAATAATTCTTTTTGTCTTATCATTACAATGTGCATCCTACACAGCCTAGAATATAAAATTAAGATATAGATAGATCCAATGAAATAAGTAGCAATGATGCCATTCTTTTCCTTCCCTTTTCCTTGTCAACATGTTTCCTTTTTATTTTCTGTATGGTTTATTTCGATAACAAAAATATTCATATTCATTTGAAAGTAGCATATCTGTCAATAAACTTTTATATAGTATGTTGCAACGATAAGTTATCAGCTGACTAAGCTGATTCATTCTGTGTTTTTATTTCCCCTTTTAATCCCAAGCCAACACAACCTGCTTTGTGGTTTAACTTGGGAGGAAATTTACAATGATTCAGAAAATATGAGCACCCAGTATCTACTATTCTGCTACTGGCTGTCACATCCAATGCTTTACAAACAGAAAAACATTGAGTACACTAGTAGGTGGCTGCCCTCCTTCCCCGGATAGGCAATCAATAGATTGACTTTAACTAAACTAGAAACTAAAAATAATATTTGTGTTTGAGAGAGAAAAACTAACAAGGCATATATTTTGTCTCCACCGAATCGAAGCAGTCTTGAATCGGTGTTAAAGGCATAACCGATAAGAGAAAAAAACCCGACGCGACGTAAAATACTGAGATAGTGTGACTATCGCAGTATTTTACGTCTATAGTCAAACAGTTTTGTTTGGATATATTTTTTTTTAATTATTTTACAACTTTTTGTCTATCTCAGTTATTTAACTAACTGCTATCTAGTTGACCAAATTAATAGCAGTAAAATACTGAAATTGTAAGAAATAAACAAATAAGAAATTAATTAAAAAATATATAACATCCAAATAACTCCCAGATCCCGGGGCGTTAAAAACATGAAAACCTCGAACTTTAACAACAGTGAATGAAATTTAAAAAATCTAAATGGAATGTATAGATAATAAAATATGTATATAAAAAAGTTTACCAATTAAAAATTGCGATTTTGATTTTTTTATTGAGCTAGCCTTGCGGTAGTGTCATATGATTGGTCGCGGTCAGAAAATGTTTTCCACCTTAAGGATCATAATTGCATGCACACATTTAGGTTACAAGTTCTAAATGTCTATTTAATAATAATTTGATTGACCATAGATTATCGTTTTTTCTAATGATATGACAATCAATCGCTCTAGGAGATGGACTGACTACTATCAAGATCTGATATATTATTATTTTTTTAAATACTTCGCCTCACACTAGGATTTTCTTCCGTATCGTGGGTGTAATTACAAACATAGAATCTCACATGCACATTGAACATAAACCCAGACCAGTACAAATTTCTATAGGCCATACAAAATATCTGTGCCATACGGGAATCGAACCCGCGACCCGTTGCGCAGTACGCGACGACCTCTGAACTAGCCGTGATGTCAAACAAATATAAAAAACCATTGAAAAGCTAATATTTTAGTTTTTTCACTAAGAATATGAAGAAATAATAAAATAGAAATGTCAAAAATCTTTATTTATTATCTAGTATGACCTCCCTCTGCAGCTTTGACGGCACGTAGTCGATAGACTACGCGAGATATCGCATAGATGCAACAAGATGCGCGCATAGATCGGTCCCTCTAAATCATCCCATACTCGAGCACAGTGTTATCTAAGATCATGAGGGTTCCTTTCATTTTGGCAGTCCTAGTGTTGAACCATAAGCCCCCATAAATTTTCAATAGGGTTTAAATCAGCAGATCGAGCGGGTTATTGAATGGGAAGAACGTCACGGTGCAGGTTGAACTACGTCATAGTAGCACGGGCCGTAGTATATCCGTGCATTATCTTAAACATAAGTAATGTGTGGGAATTCTGTTGCAGGATACACTACGCGCACAGTAGGCATCATCACTTCTGCCAAAAGCGACACATAATTAATGGCAGCAGCCCTATTCTCTAACGACGCCAGTTCTCCGATGCAGTCGAGGCTCATCCACCCCCATAAGTTTACTGTTATGCGACCTGACTCGTTTTGAGGCACGATATAAGCTTCATCATACCGAGTTCGATTATAGCGCCATAAAGTTAATCTTCCGATTTGGTTTGATTTAAAGGTTTTCTCATCGGTAAATATAGTATTCGACCAATCAAAATCGAGATGTTGTCGCGCAAAGTAATGCTGGGCTGTTTTGTGGTGAGGTTTCAGCTCCACTTTAATAGCATGGTGTCTGCAGTGTAGTCCGGCACTGTGCAAAGCTCGTTGGATCGTCCGAGCACTCACATCATATAAATTAGCAAAATAACTAGTACTTAGGTGTGAAACCGTTATCTTGGTAACGACGAATAATTTCTGTTATTTGCGCGGCGGTTAGTATTGGTCGTTGTCAGGGCCGGATCTACCATATGGCTCTTTGGGCTTCAGCCCAGCGCCCCGTGGATTCAGGGGGCCCTAAAAATACATTGTCGAATATAACTCCATTGATATTACCCCTATAATGGGAGGAGTAAATTAAAGAATTTGCCATTTCTGCACTTTGTAGAAAGGTTTCTTTGTAATTTGTCCATTTATTAACGATTGTATAACACTAAGACATAATACACATATATTATAATTTCAATTAAATAGTTTACTTTCTCATTTTTTCTATACTTTGGGTTATTAAGTACTATTAGCCCAGGGCCCCCTAAACTCACGGTCCGGCCCTGGTCGTCGTCCTGAATTATTGCTATGATCTGTTAATTGCTCTTCTTCGCCGTGACGCCGGATCCAAAACCTCACAGTGATTCGTAATAGAATCGTCCCATCTTCAAAGAGAGATATTATTTCAGCCCTTTGCTCCAGGGTCAAACTTGCCATTTTATTTCGTAATGAATTTTTTTTTCGTAAAATTTTGCTCTTATCCATGCAATGTTCAAACAATATTTTTTTATAAATGTCATTTCAACAAATAAAGAAATGAGTTTCAATATCAAAAATTAATATATAATTCTTTTTGTTATTCTCGATGCGTCATTTTGCATAATAACTTTTGAAAGGTAATTGGATAAACTTGATATGGCATTTTAGGCTTTAGTGAAAAAAGTGTAATAAAAAATCTAATTTCAAAACTGGTAAACATTTTCTGACCGCGACCGTACCTACTCGGTGTATAAACTGTATGCCGCGGCTCTAATATCCCTTCTAATAAATTTCACAAGCCGTTTTTAATATATTATTTTGCATAATAACTTTTGAAAGGTAATAAGTTACTTAATATGGCATTTTAGGCTTTAGTGAAAAAAGTGTAATAAAAAATCTAATTTCAAAACTGGTAAACATTTACTGACCGCGACCGTACCTACTCGGTGTATAAACTGTATGCCGCGGCTCTAATATCCCTTCTAATAAATTTCACAAGCCGTTTAAATATATTATTTTACATAATAACTTTTGAAAGGTAATAAGTTACTTGATATGGCATTTTAGGCTTAAGTGAAAAAAGTGTAATAAAAAATCTAATTTCAAAACTGGTAAACATTTACTGACCGCGACCGTACCTACTCGGTGTATAAACTGTATGCCGCGGCTCTAATATCCCTTCTAGTAAATTTCACAAGCCGTTTTTAATATATGAAACTCCTCTTATTTTTAGGGTTCCGAAGAAGAAGACTCCGCTAATGTCCGTCTGTCTGCCTGTCACCAGGCTGACGCAGATGATGTATATTTGAAGCCTCTGTAACACAAAATAGAAT